CGAGGTTTACTTATGCGGCGGAGTGGTTTTTGCCAGGGTTAAAGGATACGATTGGGGAATTGTGGGGGACGTCTGCTAAGGCGGCTGGAAAGGCTTGTTCGGGAGGGAAGGAAGGGACGCAATGCGGACAGAAGTGGTATGTGGGTAGCTTTGATGGGAATAGTGGATTGGGGGAGGAAATGTCTGCTTTGGAGACTATTCAGGGGTTGTTGGTTGGGACGGGGGATGCTAAGATGCCTTTGAGGGGGGAGGAGATTAAGGTTGTGAGGACGTTTGGTGGTGGTGGTGGGGAGGGGGAGAGGAGACAGTCTGCTGCTGTTTCGAAGAGGGGAGGAAGAAGGTATGAGAGAAGGGATTGATGGTGGGATGGGTGGTGTTTTGCTTTTATGGTATTTTTCTTTTAGTGTATAAAATATCTATTTGCATGGCAGGGTCCGATTATTTAGAAAGAAAAAGCATTGGGGGGCTCTGGCTGGGATTGTATCTTGGAATCAAAAAATAGAAGAGATTTTGAGGTGTTCAAACAATCAGTCAGTCTATGTATGTACATGCAGTGAAGAATCTATTAACACGTCCCTTGGGAACGGGTCTATACGAGCAGAATACCATCCCTAAATCCATCAATTGTACTACCACCAAACTGAATGGTCCTCAGCGGTACCGTTGACTTCCAGACCCACATGTAAATATTTCAGAACAAAAAGTACAAATATATCTAGATACAACAAGCGAAGCGCCGCCTAGGGATTAAGTGCTTGCCTCATGATAACTATATGGGGTAGATTTCCTTTCCCTCTTAAAAGCACCAAATGAACGCAGTGAGCAAGTAATCTTATGTAGATATACATATATAAAAATATTTTGTGGGATTGGGCCACCAAAAGGGCTGTTCATCCATATACTCTAAAACGGGAGTACGGCGGAGGTAAGTAGGTACATGTACATGGTACACATCATCCCGAGTCACCATCCCCAACGATTTCAGCAGTCTCAACTATCCAACGGTCTGAACTATCCAACGGTCTCAACGGTCTCAACTATTTCAACGCTTCCCAACGTTTTTCAAAGGGTTTTAAAACGAAAAAAAAAGACTACATACATCAATATCCCGAACTAAAAGTAATGAAGTATTCGATAAAGCTATCTCACCAAGATATTCATCATCTCAAACAAGAACGAGGGCCTGTAAGAAGAACCCAAAAAGAAACGACCAGCCAGCCTGACAAACAAAGGGCAGCCGAGTGAGGCGGTGTAATATATACATATACACACAGAAATACACCAGTTACTTTTACATGTAATTTATGCAAATAACAAAAACAATGGAATCCAACGGTCTCAACCAAAGCCAAACTCTGATATCCAAAGAGGGAAAAAAAGAGGTAAGCCATCTATATCACCAAGACAAAAAAAGACACAATAGATACATCTAGCTGAGCCAACCACCCGGCAGGAAGTTTTACTCTCTTGTCCCCTCCCTATGCATTCTCACTAATCATCTTCTCTTCTACTTTCTTTCTTTCAACAAACCAGATATACACAACTGTCCAAACATCCACCACAAACACTATAATTACAAAACAAAACTTAAAAAAAAATACAGGACAAAAAATATAGCATAAAAGGCTTTCTAAAAGTTTCATCAAAAAGATATAATCATCATCATCATCGAGCGAAGCGAGGACTGGGGGTTTGGGGGCTTGCCCCCATAAACACTGGGTAATAAACTTTAGGTTTCCCCCCTTCTACTTTCAACAAGCCATTGTGTATCATCCCCATACTTATTATCCATATATGAATAGTACAATGAATCAAGTATAATAAAACGCCGAAAGGGTGAAAGAAAGAAAAAAATGTGAAACAGTAAAAAAGACATGCCAGCACGTGTGGTCGGGGTCGGGCACAAAGAATCGGATGTGAGCACCCTGCATCCGATATTGAATCTAGAAGGACCGAGGAACTTCAATAGAAAATAGAACACGAAGTTTAGTCTTGTGAAACATACCGATGCTGTGCTCAGAGCGGTTTGCTTCACGTTCTCTGAATGGTCAACAAGATTCTTCAGCTCCCTCGTGATCGACATCAAATGTCCTGCATGACGGGTAGATGCATGCACATGCATCCTCTGTGTGTTTGCTTTTGCATGCATAGCCCACGTGTGTAGCTTCACCACTTCACTCAACATCACTTGAAAAAATATTAGAAAAATGTGCAAAGTTGGTATGTTAGACTGTCTCCAGCAATTATAGGTTACAAAGAATGATCCAACCCCCTGATAAAAAAACCCAGCGCAACAAACGCGATGATGAAAACCACAAAAGCCCGAGGCCAGCTGGCAAAACTCGGCAGAGTATCAAAAGTCGAACAAGAGAGTACCCATAAAAAAACTGACAAACAAATTCCCCATTTTTTTCAAAAAGCCCACAACCCCCCAACAATTCCATATCGAGCTCCCCAATATCAAAACATCCGGAGAACAGACAACATTCCCAACTCTGCACAAAAAGAGGTAATTAGGTTTTTATATGCAGGTGATTAGGTCGTGGCTCGTGTCTCGTAAAAGCAAGTCTCCCGAGGTAGTTGGTGCCGTTAGGAGCTTTAGAGAAGGGCGGCAACACCGGCAATGAGAAGGAGGGCGCTGATGGGGGCAGCAAGAGCGCCAGCCTTACCCTCGGGGGTATTGGAGACGGTGGGAGATGGAGATGTGAAGCTCGAGATCGACGTGGTGTTAGACGCCGGGAAAGTGGAGGATGGGGCATAGGTGACGGTGTGCTTCTCAGTGACGGTGGTGCTGGCAGTCTCGGAGCTGCTGGAAGTAACGGCAGCGCTCGAGGTGGTGGCCTCGCTGGAGGTAGTGGAAGCAACGGAGCTGGTGGAGGAAGTGGTGGGCTCAGGGGCGGCGGTCTGAGCGACGAGGCCACCAGAAACGCTGTACTCCTTGGCGCACTCCTCCAAGTTCATATCGTCAGGGCAGCAAAAAGTGCCAGCGGACTTGTCAGAAGCGCAGTAGTAACCGGCATCGCAGGAATCTATCAACTCATGTTAGTCATCAATCACAACTTCCATCTGAACAATGTAAATAACCACATACTTCCGGACTTGTCAGGGCAGCAGGTCTGGCCGGCATCCATGTTGAAGCAGTGAATTTTGCTGTCGATTGAAGCGCAGGTCTGGTAACCGGTGCCGCAGGCCTCCTCGCAAGTGTTGCCAGAGCCACAGACAGCGGACTCGGGCTGGTATCCGGGCTCTTCACGACGAACAACGCCAAAGAGCTGACGAGTGGACATCTTGACCTCCTGAACCTTGTATGGCTGAAGCTTAGCGGCAACATCAGATGCGAAAGCAAGGGCCGCGAGGGCGGTGGTGATGGTCTTGATCTGCATTTTGAAGGTGGTTTTGGTGATAAAAAGTCGCGACGGTCGGTAAAGGTAAGAAGAAAAGGTTGTGGAAAATGATTTTTCTGCTATAGGTATTTGCCGTTTGTTTTTTTCAAAAAAAAAGAATGGATCGAGTACGAAAGACTCTGGGTTAATGAACGACAGGTAACTTGGAGGTGATGTTGATGATAAAAAGAGGAACGGGGAAAAAGGGAAAAGAGATGGATTGAAATGAGAGTGAATAAAAAGCGAACAGGAGAAGCGAGGATCTGGACTCTGGAGATGGGCGGGTCCTGCCCAGGTTGATAAATGGAGCAAGGAATAACAACAAGTACCTTCCCAGCTTGAGATTGCGTCTGGGGTACCTACCTTTGAGGGGAGACAAGGGGAAGGGTCAAGCGAACCACTGAGCACGTCTCCTTAATTTTAGGTCTTGGACAACAGCTTCCCTGGCGCGGCACGGCAATCTGTACCTGCGTCTTCGTTCCTTTTAACCTGCACCACTCGGGTGTGACAGGTTGGGTTGACTGGTGACTGCCAGGCACACCAATCGTAGTTGAAGAAAAACATGTTTCTTTTTTCCCCTTTTCTTACAGCCGGCCGGCAGTTCATTGTTTCCTTCCTTCTTTCCATCTTTGTTGTTTCCCTGCTGAATGAAATGGCTTCTTTATGGCCAAGCAACAATTCAATTTCGGCCACCCTGCCGTGCGAATGCGACGGGATCGTTCTCACCGCTGCATCAAAAAAAAACTTGCCAGCTGTTGCAACTTGCAAAACCTCTGTCGAAATGAGGGCCAAGCAAATCCCATCTCCGTGATCGACATTGAACAAAACATTTTGATGGCGAAGTTGTAAGCGCCAACGTGTGGCAAAAAATTGACCGTTTTATTCCAATCGACTTTTTTTTCCCCCAGAGAGGCAGTGTTGTGTATGTATGACTGGCTGACAGGCAACGGTTGGCCGTTTCAACTCTGATCAACGATGGCCCGTGCTTTCTTTATGTTTATTAAAGTTGTTTATGCCCTTTTTCCGGCCCCACAATCGGCGAACGGTGGGTGCCGGGCCGCCCTCCGAACTTCGGGGCTTTTTTCTTGACACAGAAACAACCTGCCCGGTCCGGGGTGGTGGTTAATGGATCATGGGGTTGTGATGCTGATGTTCTAGATAAGCTTGTTCTTCAAACTGCCTTTTGCTTGTTTAAAGTGTGCGTGGTTCCATGTTTGTTCAGGAACCTGTTCCATCAGGGACATCCATGAATAGAGATTCTTGACTCGCTCGAACAGATAATCTCTAAAGTCTAAAATAACGACCTTTAAGGTTCTCACACAAATCCTACTACTACCTATGATTGTATTGCATAGGCATCTATCTTCTTGTGAAGTTCTCATAGAGCACCCGCTCCCACAACCTAGGTACCCATTTTCCCATCATATATCTTTACCCAAGACCACTCTCATTGCAACATCCATATACAATTATATTAAAGTTATGGATTACGTATATCCAATTCAAGCCTCCACACACAAAGTTCACACCATCTCCCCATCCCCAACAAATACACACAACCATAAATCCCTCACTTCCCTCCTGAACCACAACAACAACAAAAACTATGGCATTACAGCGGGTTTAGCTCAGTTGGGAGAGCGTCAGACTGAAGTTCCACTTCATTCAAAATCTTGAAAAAGATAATCTGAAGGTCATGTGTTCGATCCACATAAACCGCATTCTCTTTTGTCTTTTTTTTTCTTCTCGACCTCCTTTTCGTCTTGTTTTTAGCAGGACAAATAAGATCGTGATTGATGAATAATCAATGCTGCTATTTAAAAGGTCTGATATGTACTCCGTAAATGGATAAATATGGTTGAGGTTTGTAAAATGGTTGACGCTGATTGAAAGCTGGTGATGATTTCAAAATCACAGTAAAGGCGGGATGATGCCCAGGCAGCAAAAAGCAAGCCATATATCCAGAAAACCAGTTCCATTTTCTCTAAAAAAAAAACAAAAAAACACCCCTTCAACCACCCCGCAAAAAAGACAAAAAAAGGCAAAAACTAAACATGCTTGCTTTGCTACCTTGTCTCTTCCAACAATTCCAACTCCAACATTATTACTTATATCCATCCCCCCATCCCCCCTTATTTCTCATCTATTGACTCAAATAAGACCTGATAGCACCCTGCAACTTACTCGCGCCCTCACCGACAAGTTGCGTAAGCTGATCAATATCATCACCGGCCGTGTTTCCAAACCTCCTCACGAAATCCTTGGCTGCGCTTTCGAGGTCGCCGTAATCGTCTCCTCCAAAATCCTCATTCTCCTCCTTACCAAAGTAAGCGTTCGACGAAATGGCTGAAGCGCCCTCGAATCCGCCGAGGCGAGACTTGGCCTCACGTTGCGCTTCCTCGTTAAACATGCCCTTACCAAAGAATTCGTCCGATGAAATGGCCTTTTGTGTGCCAAACTTTTTGCGCGCGTAGTTGTCGCCATCGTCGTCTGTTTTCACCAACAAGTCAGTTCCAAGTATTGCAGACTCGAAAGCAAAAGAATAGAGCCTACCATTAGAATTGCCCTTGATTGGGCCAACGGATCCAAACCCGCCAGCATTCTTTTTAGCCGCCGCGACCTTGTTACCACCAATCTGACCAAAACCAAGTCTGCCGATACCCATACCGAGACGCTCCATCTCGGAAGCAGACTTTTCCCTGCTGTGACCGGAAGACGAACCGCCATACCCAGTTCCCCGAGATGCAGAGCTCACGGGCGTAGGAGAGAGAATAGCAGCAGCGCCCGAGTCCTTAGATGACGAAGGCTTTGAAGACTCCTCCTCGGGGTCGTACCCCAGCTTCTCGATCCGCTCGGCTTCCTCCTTGGCCTTCTTCTCGGCCTCATCAAAGTCAATCAAAACATCACCACCGAGCTTCTTGGCGCCCAATTTGGTTCCAATCTTCTTCGCGCCGAGGACGTTGGTCTTGCGCGGGCCACCGGCGGCCGTTGTCTTTTTTACGGTCGTAGTAGCGCTCACGCGAGTAACGGTAGGGGCAGGCTCAGTCTTGGCCAATGGGGAGGAGGAACGAGAGATCTCCTTTCCGACTTGCGCGTTTAGGAATGGAGAGCCGGTGCGTCCGACGACAGGGGGAGTGGCAGTTCGGGAAATGGGCGGTGTGGGCTTTTTGATGGCGGGCTTATCCCACGAGGAGAAGAAATCGTCCTCGTCCTCGGCCGGTGTGCTGGACTCTGCGACGTCCAAGCCGTCGATAACTACCTCCTCGGGATACTCCCTCGCATCCTTGGCTGCCCTCTTTTTAAGTTCCTCCTTGTATTTGGTAGCGGCGTTGGAAGTGTACTTGGTCTTGGGGTCCTTGCTGTTGAGGGCGGCGGATCCGCCGTTGGACTGAAAGAACTTGGTTGCGGACTCATTGCCGCCAACCTTCATAACACGCAATTGATCCCATTGCCATTCTGTTGCGCGCGCCTACAGTTAGTCTTTGTGTGTCGCGAAGTTGGCCGAGGGGAAAGAAACATACGGTCGAGGTTAGTAGATCGAACAAAGGAGATGTGGACACCGAGGTTACGATGGTTGGCTGAGCAGTCGAGGCAGAGGTAGATACCGAAGGGAACTGAAGTCCATGTTGGATTCTTTTGGCCGCAGTCGAAACAGATCTATGCGCGCGTGAGGACAGGTCAGCAGGGTGCATGTGGGAAAAAGGGAGAATAATCAAAGAGACCTTATTAGCCTGCTTCGTCTTGAGCTTCTCAAATATCTTGAGCGATTGCTGTTTTGAAGCGAGACCGCTCATGGTGGGCAAGATTTGTTGGAGAAGTGATTTTAAAAAATAAAAAAAAAAAGTTGGTGTCGTGTCGTAAACTTTTCCCAAAGTTGAGTCGGTGTTAGCGGCGGCCAATTCAGGAGACAAGTGAGGGATCGGGGATGTGAACGGGCCACAATTTCGCTGCCCAGGAATCCATCCATGTGGCATCAAGTAAATCCGCTAATCCCAAAACGTATTAGTGACGTTCCCCCACTTAATTCCCCCGGCAGATACCAATTCACCCCGCTGCAATTGCATTGAGATCCAATCCAAGATGCAAGGTTGAGAAAGCTTCCAGAACAACCACACAATGTTAAAACCAAGGACATACCCAGCAACAGCAATAACAATGTTAAGATCAACCACAACAACCACCATGTTAAACTCAAAACCAATCCTCCCAACGACAATAGCCCTCCTCCTCCTCCGTCGTCCCATACCTCCCCGCCGTCCATACTCCTCCTCCTCAACCCGTCCCTCAGCGACATCATCAACTCCCTCTCACACCTACCCTCACCACCTCCCCTGGTCCTCTTTAACCCCCTTTGAGAAATTCGGCCGCGCTCTAAACCAATCCATGAACTTTTCCCTAATCCTCATCGGCTTGACTCTAACCTCAGGCGTCTTCTACCTCCTATACACCGAGGTTTTCTCTTCCGATTCCAAAACCTCCCATTTCAATTCGGCTTTCAACAGAATTAAATCGGATCCGCGATGTACAGAATTATTGGGCGATGGTAGAAAACTAAAAGCTTTTGGGGAGGAAAGTCCGAATAGTTGGAGGAAGGCTAGACCTATTGCGTTTGTCTCTCCCTTTGCCGTACATTTGTGTAGTATTTGGTGTTAATAATGTTTGTGTGTTTTAGATCGACAGTGACGAAAGATAATAAAGGTGTGGAACATTTACGCATTGAATTCAACGTAAGTCTTTTCGACCAATTCGGCCCATGATGTGTCTGTTGCTGAGTGGAGTGGAAAAATAGGTACAAGGACCGAAAGGTATTGGCAGAATAAACATTCACATGACTAGATCACCGGGACATGGTCACGAATTCGAGTATCAGACGTTTTTTGTTGATGTAAAAGGGCAAAAGAGACTTTGGTTGGAAAATAAAGCTGCTGCTGCTGCTTTGAGACAGCAAAGTAGGAAACCGGAGGCGTTCAAGTTGTTTGGGGTTAAGTGGAGTTGAAGAGGAAGTGATATGTGTTATGAAAAGTTTTTTGTACGATTATGTGTGTTATGGTTCGGAAAGGGAAAACGGCGAAAAGGTTGGGTAGGCTACTTTGGAAAGGTCAAATTGTCTCTGTTGAAAGCATGATCATTGTTAATGGGTTTTGGGAAATTGAAAATATCTGTTTTATTGATTGTGATGCAATTTTCCACGGTTGGGGAAAGAGCCTGTTCTTGCTGATAATGAATAGACATCGTCAAAGAATTAAAAGGATTAACTTCTGTTGGGAAGACTGTGTGGATATCTTTTTGTTTTTTGGAAGGCGTGAATAAACACATTTGCTCAGCTTATCCCTATTGCGTTTCCTCCTTATGATCAAGAGAGATGAAGAATGAGAAGGAAAAGTAGGAGTAAGCTAGCAGACCTTGACCAGCTGGTGTAGTATTTATGGTTACCGAAAGAGAGTAAGGAAAGCCTTAAGCGACGTGTTTATCAGTTGCTTGAAGAGTGTGAAGACAATACACTTGATAGATTGTTGAAAGGAGATATTATATGATCTTTATGGGTATGTTGCAGCGAATACTGTAAACCTATATCCAGTCCACTGTCATTTGGCTACCGCGCGCCAACTTTGACAACAATAACCACTCTTCGATTAGACAACATGCTATTTATATAATATCTGGTTTGGGTGAAAGTCATACGATGTTTAACAATGCCTCGGCGTAAGTGCTGATAATATTTGGAACTCTAAGAAAGCGCTTTGGGCGTCGTTTATCCAAAAGAATATACCGGCTATTATCTTTGGTGGATGTCTTCAACCGATGCTTTCTGGGAAGGAAGGGCCAGTGCTCTTGTTTTTTATAGAGATCTTTTTTTATAAGGAGGGACTTGCTCTCTGGTTTAGATAAGGAGACGGAAAATGCTTGGACTTCAAGATCTATTACCTGATCATTACTCCCGAAAGTTAATAGTGCCGTTTTCGGGTTTTGGCTTTCATACCAAAGTATCCAAGATTTGGTATAAGGCTACCTAATTACCTATGTGATAAGCTATTTTCTATTTCTCACCCAGGAGAAATCAGCGTTGGCTATTGTTCTGTTCCGTATAATGCCATCATATTAGTTATATCGGCTTCTCGACAGGCGGCCCTTCTTCTTAGCTTTCTTTATGAGAGGAAAATTATATTAAAACTTGACTCGGGAATTTAAAATACAGTGTGGAATCTGTCAAGAGGTATTCTTCTTTAAGTGCCTGATTCACCGTGTTTCTTAATCTAGGTTGATATGACAGAATTGAGGTCATGTGGTTTGGTATCGGCCAGCTTTCAAGAAGAACATAACCAGGCGGAAAGTATAGCTGGGGTATCAATGTTAATTGTCAACTAGTAAGCTGTTCTTGGACTGCGAGCGGTCGTCATATCTACTACCAAGTCCAAATTTGAAGTCAGGAGAAGTATAAGACCCAGCATTTGATACGAAACCATCACCAAGATATAAACCACAGAGAGAAGTGAGGACCCGGGGTTGGAAGCTTGTCCTCTCCATAACAAAATGACGGGTGGTGAGCTTCAATTAACATTACTTTTGAAGCATTGAGTAAATCGGACGGTGTTATGGTCTATAGCTTTATGCAGGAGAGCCCTGAGAGAATATGAACATTCTTATTTTCCTTCAAGTAGCAAGTCATAACTAATGAAGACACGATCAATGAGCAAAGTGATGGATGGCTACGAGTTTTGGG